TTGGACGGCAAACGATTGAAGCAATTTTATAAGAGGCTCATTTTGTAGGAAAATAGCTTTATAAAGGTATAACACGCCATTGACAGACACCACACCAATTGATTCATACAACTTGCTCATAATTGCAGTATCAGCCATTAGTCTCTCACGGCGAGGAGTACGAAAACTTCCCCAAGGAGCTGACGTTCTTTTCCAAATAACATGGCCGTAATGATCGATAATGACCATAAAGATTCGTTCTAAGACCTCCGAAATTCCGTGAACTATTCCAAGAATAGCCATGGATCGCAAACTGTCTAAATTTGCTTGTAAAACTCGAAACATAATAGCTGAGCCAAAGTACAGCGGCGCCAGTAATACGTATGAATATCCCGGATGGGTAATGTTCCTTAGCCGCTGAACAGAAATCCTGCAAATCACTTTGAGTACAAATCCAACTAGAGGAGCGAGGATGGCAATCAGCAGTTTACCTTCGTTTGTTTGTTTATTGTATGCTGGGTAAATGGTGTAAATTGTAATGAAAGTAACAGCGTCACTCAAACAGTTTGGAAGAATCAATTGCAAGAATAAAGAAGCTCGTTTTCTCCTTGAAAGGCTGACCGAGAAGTGAGTCGTTACAAGATATACTTGCAAACATATACTGACAAGAAACAAAATATTGAGTGGAAGTTTCAGTGACGTGAACGCTTTGGATTGTAACACTTCGAAGGCTTGCAGACCAATACGATAAAAAGCATCCAAGCAGTATACTGAGAGAGCAGCAAGCGACAGTTTTATTTTAACCCCTATTAACTGGTAAGGGCGAAATAAGAGTAACATACTCACAAGGAACCAAATGTAAACAAAGGCAGAAGATACGATACCGGACATACATTTCATCCATTGTATTTGTAACGGAATTGACTCAACGGAGTGAAACGGGCAGTCGAGTACAGTTTCGTATGAGAGATAAGTGAAGAACACGAACAGAGAGCCGATGACTGTTGCAGTTAATAAGGAAATCAAAGTTCCAGTAAACAGTGACTTCCAAATTGTGTAACAAATTGAAGGCCTGAAACTCTTCCAAGCCATTGCTCTATCGTNATTCCTGATAGAAATTTTACACGGGCGACTTAATGAAGCTGATCAGTCTTGTAAAATTCCGTTTACCTGAACGTGGGAGGTAAATAAAGTTTCTTTACCCCGACCAGCTACGGTATTTTCATAAAATTCGGAACGTGTTTGCATTTGGTTGTCTTGGAGAATCTGTTAAGTTTTTATTCTTTGGTAAGAAGTATGCATAGATTTCTTAATCACGTTTTGGTCGCATTTACCGACCAGTAAAAAGCAGGTTTAACAGAGCGCCGAATGTTATTAATATGGTAGTTTTTTAGCCTAGCTATTAGCTATAAATACTAGCGCCAATTGGGGCAGTTTTCAATTGAGTATCGAAAGTCTTCATGGATCGCTTTGATTGTTTTTATTTCTCTCTGTGATTGGTCAAGAAAACTGGCGCCACCACTACAACCAAACAAATGCTAAACTAAAACCAATCCCAACACTCGCGTTTCGCGCGCTTGGTCACGCGCGTCTTCCCGCACTTGGTTACGCGCGTTTTCCCGCGCTTCAAGGAGGTTACCTGTATTTAATTTGAGTGCTCACTGGTCAATGGTGACGTTAACCTTCCCCTGATTGGTACTTGTGATTATTATGGTTTTGGTTTTTCGACACTCAATTGAAAAACATAATATCGGACGTTTGAGTGACATGGGAACGAAATAGTCAGAAATTAATATTCTAATGGCACGTTGAAGAGTTTCGCGTGGCCTCATAGAAGTTTTGGATTATTTAAGCGTTTTGCGGAAAATGAAATAATTCTTGGTCGGTCAGTCTTATATTTGACCACTTTTTTTTGGCATTTGATGTAATTTTTACTTTCCAACTCCCTGCAAAATATCATTGCCATCATTTTATTTTCTTTGCGATTAATAAATAGGCAGGTTAGTCAATACTTTCCTCGCGATATTGTGTTGCGGCATTAAATGAGGAATACGTTTCCAATTATTTTTTGGCCACATCTAAAGAGTGGTTTTTGCGTGTCTGGCGTAATACAGGTTCTTTTTGTAGAATCCCTAGTTTCACTGCACACATTTTAAGATTGTATCAGGTTGCGTATACTACAACACCCACTGACTTATCCTAAATAAACTTTTTACATTAAATGTCTCATGTGAGTGAAGTGAGCACCTGCACGATACCCAACCTATCAGACACAGCTTTGAAGACAATTATTTATCGTTTACATTATGCCGCCCAAGAGGCCTGTAACGTTCAAGGTTTTAACACTGAGTTCTAATTGCGGACTTTTTTCAGTAATATTGTACCTCTGTCGAAATTGAAGTCGATTTAATTTCATTCGTTGAGATTTAGCAGCATTTCATCGAAATGATCATCACAAACTGATTACAGAATAACCTGTGCTAGTTATTTTACAAAAATAAAAACCAAGTGAATGCATGATTTTTATTCGCATGACAAAGCGTCAAAAGAAAAGGAAACACCCGTACGTCTGCTAGACATGATCATTATAACTCATGCAACTTGCGAACAGTAGGAACGCCGGGCTAAAAAAAAAAATAAATGAAATGATGTTTCGTGTTGAAAGAAGAAAAGAAGAAATATGATATGATAAAACGCGTTCTAATCTTGTTAGGTCATCTCCGTTTTTTCTGACTTTTGAGATCAAAAACTGTCAGTGAAATGTCTCACTAAAACTTGAGCACTTAAGGGGAGTTAACTACATGACCTATTGCAAAAAATAAAGTCATAGTCCAGTAGTGGAATAGACAAAGAAGACGGACTCGATGAGCTCGTCTGAGAGGGTATTTCCTCCAAGGAATATGGATTCCAGTGGCTCGCCAACGAACTCTATCTATCATATAATGCCGACAATCTCATCGCCAATTCTTTCCCGGCTCAAAACTAATTACATATTCTGGACGTTCCGGTTTCGACCTCCAAATTGTAAACTCAACATTTACTGAATGACTCGCTGGGTCGGGTAGTTGAGCTTGGAAATAAGAAACCAACCGTGACGAAGGTGAATATACAACTAACAACTATTCACAGTTTTTTTAGACAGGGATAAAAAAAAGATAATAATAAATATAAATATACATGTAGNACGTTAGTTTGGACGTTTTTGCTGAAGCCGGGGGATTGAACCAGATTATCTGTCTTCTTCTTTTTGTGAGCGATCATGGGAACTAGGGGGTGAAGGTGTGGCTGATTTGAAGTAGGAGAGATGGGTGTTATATCCGCTTGATTTCAGGGCGTCTTCGTATGTGGGCTTGGCTTTGTTGAATACATCTTCATTGCAGGAGAGGTCACAGATACGCCGGTTAATAGACTGTGGAAGGTGCTTGATGATGGAATGGGGATGGTTGGATTTAGCATGGACGTAGAGGGGATCGTTGTTGGGTTTTCTGTAAGGGCAGTATGTTCCTTTCGTTAGGTTTAGTGAGACGTCGAGGAAGTTGACTGATTTTAAGTTAGTGTTTATGGAGATTGAAAGGCCGTATTGTTTGAAATGGGCCGTTGTTGTTTTCCTAAAGCGGTCCGCCTCCGGGCCTGATGCGTTCTTCAGTAAGGCCAGGCCGTCGTCTCTGTAGAGGTCGATGTTGGTGTTACCTGTTTTTTTTGCTGAGGGTGTCGAGGATGAAAAGGCCTACGAGTTCGCATATTTCGGCACCATCGTAGCTCCCCATTGTGACGTCGAACATGTTGTCATTTGTTTACCTTTTTCCAGGCGGTGTGGTGGTTGAAGAGGAGGAATTTACGGCAGTGCATGATGATGTTGATGTCTTGATCGGTGATCGTGGTGAAGGTTTTGGCGTAGTTGATGGCATCCAGGAGGAGGGTTTCCGTGATCGAGGGGTAAAAGTTGTCGATATCGAAGACAGTGAACGAGTGCTTGTGTTTGTCGGGGATGCTGTCGAACCATTTAATGAGGTTCATAGAGTTTTTCCACTGGTTCAAGGAAGTTTGCTGACGGATGCAGTTGTTTATATTATCGAGGATGCGCTTGCTTGCTTTCCCGAGGTCATTCTTCGCGGGGTTGATCAATCGGCATGTGGGTTTGTTAGGGAAGTTTTCCTTGTGATGTTTTAATGTAATGAATGCTTGTTTAGTTGAGAAGCGTTCTGTTCTATCTTCGATGTTGAGATCAGTGGCTATTTTTTTAGCTTCTTCGTTGATAAAGTTGAGCGCATCGGCATTTGCCTTACGATAAGTCGAAGAGATATTGTTGGCTAAGAGTGTCTGGTCACTTGAAGTACGCACGTGCGTATATGCGTATAGGATGCTACGCGCCTGAGAACACCAAATTGTTTATTAACCTTAACACACATCTGTGAGATGTGACAATTAAAACTCAAAAATTGTAAGAAATACACAACTTTTTTGAGAGACATATTTCGGCCTTCTTATGCCATCTTCAATCAATGAGTAACAGAACGTGAGTAATTATATAACAGACAAGTAGATGGATAAAATCTTTACAGTATGATGTAATACAAAAGCGGGTACTAATTACCATGTGACACCAAACATCAAAGTTGTGAACTAAAACGCTAGAAAAGTGTTCTAATGCTGTAATCGTTAAGTTCAGGTTTTATCTTATTTATATAAAAAGCTTCTTTGAGTTTTAAATCAATTGAGTTGTTAGCAGAATCCAGAATACTAAAGGAAGAAAGGGAGTATTTGTTCTTACAAGAAGAAGATATGTTGAAATTCTTAAAAATATGCAAGTTTTTATCGCTTTCCGTGTGCTCCTTTTTCCTAGTAGAGCAGTGGCGACTAATTTCACCAATAGAACGGGGATTACATCCCGCACAAGAAAATTGATTAACTACCATGGTTTTTAGAGCATCAGGAGTACGATCTTTAACACTGAATATGTTTTTAATTTTAAAAGAAGTGAAAACTAGTTTGATATTTAGGTCCGATTTATAAAAGCGCTTAGTGAGTGGTCGGAGTCTGACAGGAAAAGAAAATTCATATTTACTATTCGCACCAATCATCACATCCTCGAAGACCCAGGGGCTGAGTCGATTTTAAGTTAGGGTATGAAGAGCCCCTGAGGACATTGTCTTACAAGACTAGTTCCAAACGGTCGCAGTCGTTCTGCCATCTGATTGGTGCCAGAAAATCTTTGTGTTTTTCTGCCCAATCAGAGTGAAATGTACTTTAGAAACCTTTCGTGTGTTTTAACACGGACATATATGCAAGTAGCTCAGTTGCTCACTATGATTGTTTGGACCGTGCGACGGAGATTTGCTTGAGGTGAAAAGTTTCAGTCTCAGCACACAATGTAAGAGAGATCGCAATGGACGGCTAAGAATATATAGAAAGTTTTAAAACGCACGTGCTGAGCTATTGTTCTCCCAATTAGAACTTTTAGTTTTCCACGTCCTCGTTGCCGTCGCCTTCGTGGTTTGCTTAAGGTCCTTAATATTACGCGTTAACGGAGATTATACCTTATATCTGCCTTGGACAAAAAATCCTTTGGCGAAAATACCATTCATAAATAAAAACATTTAGGCAAATCTAACAAACATACTTTTGGTTCATACAATCTCGCTTCTGAGTTCAGTTTATTTTGTTGACTATACGAAAAGAAGGGAACACCAGATTTATATTTTAGAATAATTTTTGATCATTTCTATTAGCTTTGTGATTATTTGACTAGGCTTTCGTCGTCTTTTACGCGACGTGAAAATTCTACATCTGAGGAAATCGCGTAATGGATTAATGAGCCACACCAAGTACAACGGATGACTTTGACGAAAACTGAACGGGCGGGTTCACTTTTCATCACCCCTGCAGTATAAGAGAAACCATCCCTTGTGAAGAAAATTCAAAGACACTGCATGATCTACAATCTCGAATACTAACAGAAGATGCGAAGGTCATCAGTGAACTCTCATGGATGACCAACACAGACTTTCTCCTCGCAATATCAATATAGTATCGAGCTGCAAAGTGATGGGAATAAAGGAGAAACTTCAATAAGGGAATTATCAGTTGATCCATGAGGTAACAT